GTGTGTGTGTGTGTGTGTGTGTGTGTGTGTGTGTGTGTGTGTGTGCCTGAGCCTGCGTTTTGGGTAACAACAAAGAAAGGGGGAGCGAGAGAGCAAGAGAGGGAGCCGAGCATGTTTTGCCTCGAAGGCAAGACTTGCAGCCAATCAGCGCGCAGGAGCCTCCCTCTGCGACTCCAACATTGAGTCTATAACCGGCTGGCCGGGCGGAGCTGGCAGCATTTGGCTGTGGCTTGGGACGCGGAGAGAGGCGCGCAGCGATCGCCCGACGGCTGGCTTAGGGTCTAAGGCGCCCCTCGACCACCCCCTCCCTGGAGACGCGGCGGGACCCTCCCCCTCGCCCTCGGGACACCCACACCCCGTCTGATCTCCTCCGCCTCCCCGGCGCTCCAGTCCGCTCCGGCGCTCCTCGGCGGAGGCCAGCCCGGGGGAGGCGCGGCGCCCGCCAGCATGAGCGGCTCCTTCGATCGCAAGCTCAGCAGCATCCTCACCGACATCTCCAGCTCCCTCAGCTGCCATGCGGGCTCCAAGGACTCTCCCACCCTGCCCGAGTCTTCGGTCACCGACCTGGGCTACTACAGCGCGCCCCAGCACGACTACTACTCGGGCCAGCCCTACGGCCAGACCGTGAACCCCTACACCTACCACCACCAGTTCAATCTCAACGGGCTCGCGGGCACCGGCGCCTACTCGCCCAAGTCGGAATATAGCACCTATGGAGCCTCCTACCGGCAGTACGGAGCCTACCGGGAGCAGCCTCTGCCCGCCCAGGACCCAGGTGAGGAGCCCGGGGTCGCGGAGAGGGGGCGAGACACCGGAAGGGCTCCAGGGAGAGAAAGGTGGGGAATGGCAAGCCGAGATCTAGGCAAGCCTCGACGACAAGAAACCCTACGGCCTGGACGTTGCAGGAGGCGGGCTGGGTGACCTCCAGGTGGGGACCGGCGACCTTGCCGTGCGGGGCGCGGAGCGCGCTGGGCGCCGCCGTCTGGGATGAGCTGGGGCGCGGGCAGCGGGCGCCGGCTGGCCGCGGGCTCTCTCCTCGTGGAGGTGATTTTCCGGGCACTTCAGCTGGTGGCCAGGGGGTCGCGAAAGGCGGAGGGGGGCAGGGGAGGGGCAGTGGCGACTGGAAGTCGAGGCGCCCTTTCCTCTGGACGGGGACTAGAGAGATCGGAGTGGCGAGGGGCACGTGGAGAAGGACTCGCCTTGGGGTCGGGAAGCCCGGGGAAGCAGAGAAGCTGCAAAAGGAAAGGTGAGGACAGCAAGCCAAGTGTGGACAGACGGAGCGAGAGAAAGGACAGAAGAAAGGAAGAGGGAAGAAAGTAAGAAAAAAGAAGGAAAGAAGAGAGAAAAGGAAAGAAGGAAGAGAGCAGGAAAGAATGAAGGAGGGAAGGAAGAAAAAAGGAAGGAAGGGAAGGCAGGAAAGAAGGAAGAAAGGAAGGGCAGGATCTGTTCCACCGCAGCTGTTCTAAAATCCCGACGGGAAGCGAGGCTGGGAACAGCGGGGCGGACGCGGGAGCCGTCGGCGGGCGGGCGGCCGGAGGCCGGGCGGCGAGGCGGGAGTGCGTGCTGA